GACTCATAACATAAATAGTGAAAAGTGAGTGTTACATTGTACAGTGGCATTAGGTGCCGTAATGTGCACCTCTGCCTATCCCTATATATGGATAAAAGGCGTGACTATGAGTATGAGTAGTATTTTTAATAATAGTAGTAGGCAGTGTATGAAAATTAAAAAAATAATTATTCCGTCAATTAGGTTTGGACCCGAATTGAGCAAGCGTGGTGATTAATGCTCAAACCTTCTCCTTCTGAGAAGAGGTGAGAAGTGGGCATTGCAGGTTGTTGATGTGTCAGTTAATGATAAATTTATAGACACGTATTTTGTCGTATAAGAAAACAATACTTAGATAAAACGGAGTTATGTTTAGGAGTCCCACTCCTACGGTCGTTACGTCACAGTACCCTACAAAATGTAGTAAATTGTGACGTCACACGATATTTCAAATCAATATATCGTCGAAAGTATTTAATTTTGTAAAGAAAATAAAAAATATGTGTCTGTTTTAAAATAATCTACCAGACGGACATTGAAACAAAGTTTAGGAAACTAAACTATTCCCATTCTAAAATAACATAACAACATAACATAACATCACGCCTTTTATCCCCGAAGGGGTAGGCAGAGGTGCACATTACGGCACTTAATGCCACTGTACAATGTAACACCCACTTTTGACTATTTATGTTAAGAGTCCCATGTAATAGGCTCACCCCATCCTAAAATCTCCCTTTTATTTAACCTGCCTCGATGTTTATCCGTTTGTATTCCGTAATAGGATCTTGTATATTTAATTTTTTCTTCTCTGCGCAGGTCTCCCACCACCCCCCCGTGTCCGCGTTCTACGTGGCCAATAGAAAAGAGGGGTTCGTTATAGAAGGCAGTCTACTAGCTAGGTCCAAATTTTATGGTGAGTCTCGCAAACATATTGTAATTTGAAATTTTCTCTTGTTTTTTTTTTAACGTTGCCCCACACACTAGGATTTTCTCCTGTGTCGTGGGTGCATTTACAAAGATACAAGTTCACATATACATGACACCCAGACCCGGAACAACAATCCGTGAGTCACACAAATGTACATATACAACACCACAGCTTACGCCATTAAGTTATACTGTTAAACTTATATATATAAATGCTATTATTTAGGTAATTAAAAACAAACTAATTAGGTAATCAAATACAAGAAATAAAAATTAATACAACTCAGAAAATAACCATACATTTGAATAACAAATTTGGTAATTAGAGTAATTATTGTGATTTGACACAGACATTAACATTATAATCAGCTACGTATCATCCATCCTCTCACAAAATCTTAAACATTCACGACACACATCTATCCATCTCATTGCAAATAAATCACACTCTGGTGCTGACATCAGGAGAGAATTGAGCATGGTGAGTACTCGGACCAGCGGAGAATTTGCATGCACAAAGAGTTGGTCCATGCGGGAATCGAACCCGCGACACGTTGCGCGGCAGCCAGTTGCCCAGCCACCGCGCCAAACGTGCAGTCAGTATAGTGGTAGTAGTATGTTATATATAATGGTAGTAGTATGTTGCAAGCGTTCATAGGCCGCGGTAACTGCTTACCATCAAGTGGGCCGAATGCTCCTTTTGCCACCGTCGTGGTATAAAAAAAAATTACTTAAGTAGGTAGCTGTTATTTTCTTATGTTAGTTTAGGTGTGACTTTGTGTGGGTAGATAGTTAGTTATTTCTTCTACTTGTCATTAAGTGTGGGAGAGCCATGCTTCGGCACTAATGGGCCGGCTCGACTGGAGTGACACCACGGTCGAGCAGAAAATCATAGTGAAACAAAGTTTGCATTGTGTGAGTGAGATAACCAGAGGCCCAAATCCCCCCCCACCCCTTCTCCCCAGTCTCCCCAATCCCCTCACCCCCACCCTTTCTCCCCAGTCTCCCCAATCCCCGAATCCTCCCCGAATCAATCCTCAAATTCCCAATCCCCAAAAGGCCGGTAACGTACTTGTTAACGCCTCTGGTGTTCTAGGTGTCCATAAGCGACGCCGATTGCTTACCATCAAATGATTCGTCTGCTCGTTTATCGCATAAAAAATCACTTTGGTGTCTGATACTGAAAGGATACACAATTTGAAGTTGTACTTGAATATCCATCTCTGTCATTGTACAAAGAATTTGTAGACAGAACTATATTTAAGCGCGACTTAAAATGGCGATAAATGAGTGGCGTTTGAATATTTTTGCATTAAACGTATACTAAATACTTTTTCTTCCCCACAGGAAATTCAACATCAGCAATATTAGAAGGTTGCGCGCGCATCCACCTCCTAAACTGGGGGGAGACTTACGTCACCACCGCACCCTACGCGCACTGTAAGGGGATTGTCATTGGCACGCTCAGCATGGAACTAGGGGGGAAGGTATGTATGTCACCCCTTTTGGGGGGTAGGGATGTAGGTTCTCTATTTACGAGATATCTATAAGTTAAGTACAGAGCTAGGAGGCAAGACATATTGTAATAACTACTAGTGACTGTTTGTCCCCCGTCCCCCTTAGGGAGTAGGGGATGTCTTAATGCATAAGAGCTCAGCATTAAAGGAAGGTCATTCGACTTAAACGGGAAGGGGGAGAGTGAACAATAACTAACTCCAACCTGGGTACTTACTCTTGAAACCAATCTCAATGTCAATGAAATTTCAATCGAATAAAATCCAAAAAAAA